AGAAAAAAAGAAAATCTCACCGGTTATTGCAGTTTAAAACTCTGATAGATCTCCATCACTTTTAGGAAGAAAAATACCAACACTCCCTCCCATGGCTCTTTGAGGTTCCCTGAACCCGTCCCGGATCCTCTCAAGCTTCTTCTGGAGCCACACTACCACCAACACAGCTTTGGTTCCCGCAACACTGGCCTTTGCTCGGTCCTCCTGCCCAGGCCCTGCGCCCAGAGCACTGCGTCTGGGTGAATTTCCTGACTGCAAGGCTCACACCTAAGCTTGTGGCCACCCAGCAGGGGCCTGTGCATACCCTCCTTTCTCCTCTTCTTGCTGCTGAGAGGGTTCTTCATCTCCTGTCGGCTCCTCATAATCTCTCGGAGCCGGAAAGGGATTTCCTGTTCATCCTGGTTCTTGGGCTTGCAATTTACCACCTTCTCTCCTTTGCTGGGAAGGAGAATCCGGGGGTGAGACCCGCACCAAGAGCAGCCTAAGCAGAATCAAAGAAAGGGAGGCCGGGCCTGTGGAAGGAGTGGCCCGGCCACCGGGAGAGAGCCCACGCTCCCACCCCCGCCGAGGCTGTCCGGTGCGGAAGGCGCTGCGAGGGCCGGGAAGGCCCACAGCCGGCCTCGGAGCGGGAACGAGGCCCGTGCGAAGCCAGGCACTCACGCCCACTCAGCCGACCGACGTTCTCGGAGCCGAGCCAAGCCGGCACCAACGACCCCGGCCCGGCCGCCAGGGGGCGCGCGTGAAAGCTCGCTGACTGGGTCCCCTCCCGCGACTCGGCACCCACCCACGCTGCCCCGGCCGCAAGGCCGAGCGCTGCTGCTGCTGCCCGCGCCGCCGCGTCTGCGGCCGCCCTCGACCGCCAAACCTCGCCGACCCCGCTAAAGCCGCGGCTCGGCGTTCAGCTCCCTCCATCGCCGCTCCTGGCACTTAACCCGTGAAGCCACTTCCGCTCTCCTTACAGCCCCGCCTCACGAGCACCTCTTCCGCTTCCTGCGCGCAATCCCACGCTCATTGGAGCGGCGCGGCTTCCTGGTGGGCTGGGATTGGCCCGCGCGGCCGCCGCTCACGTCTCAGCCCGGCCGCCGCAATGCTGCTTTGGAGCGTAGCGCCTGGAGGTCGCTCGCTAAGCGTCACCGTCCGCCGCTGGGCAAGTACCGGCGGGCGGGCGGGCGGGCAAATGGGGCCGAGGACTCTGGCGGGGGCCGGCCGCGGAGCCCCCCCGCCCCGGTCTGGAGAGGCCGGTTAGCCGTCCCGCGCGTCTGCTGAGCGCCCGCTGTTTGGAGCCCTCTGGGTCCTGGGGCTTGGCGGCGAGGGGGAGCTGAGGCGCCTCGCAGGAGGAGCTAGTAAACGGGTGTAGACTGCCCACGTAGAGTGCCAGGCAGTGACCTGGGCCTCGGGAGGAGACCGACCGAGGGCTGGGGCGGTGGAGCGGGGAGGCCGCCCGCGGGGCCCTGAGGACAGGATGACCGAGAGCCTTGCTTCTCGGGTGGCAGAAACCGGCACGAGACTGATCAGGACGTTCTATCAGGAGGGGCACGGCACACCGGTTGAAGGAGGAGAGGCATCCGTGTGGCCAGGAGCTTGGGGTCTCCCCATTCCAGTCCAGGACTTCTCAGCTAGTGGTCTGAGCTGGGGTCACCACCCCTCCCCTGCCCTGTCTACTGGAGTGCACACCCGGTGCGGAGCTCTGAGCTCAGTCCTCACACCAACCATTCTGTCTGGCTTAGGTATGGGAAAACTGAGTCTAGAAAGGTGAAATAATTTGTCTGAGGTCATGCAGAAAATGGGGAAGTTAAGAAGGACATGGAGCCAGGAAAGCTGAAAGCCCCCCAGACCTGGGGACAGGGAGGCCTTACCAGCTTCCTGCACAGTCATGCTTATCTGCATCCACAGGGTGTGGGCTGCATCCTTCACAGGCGCCATGCGGGAGTGGGAGCCAGTGATGGCCACAGAAAGCTGGAGACCGGCCTTGTGGAGGGGGGCTCCCAAGCATGTGCAGAAGACACCAAACAGCCCAAGACCTCCCTACTCCTTGGGGGCCCCTCAGGACCCCCATACTCTCTGCCACCTGAACTCCAGCTTCCCACAAACTGCTGCATGAGTGGCTGCCCCAACTGCGTGTGGGTAGAGTATGCAGAGGCCCTGCTGCGGCATTACCAGGATGGTGGGGAGCGGGCCCTGGCTGCCCTGGAGGAGCACGTGGCCGATGAGAACCTCAAGGCCTTCCTCAGGATGGAAATCCAGCTCCGCACTCGAGGTGGGGACTGAGCCAGCCTGGCCAAGACACCCTTACCCTGGACAGAGGCCAGTCCATCCGCTTCTGCCTAGGAAGCAGCAGTGATTGTTGTTCACACCTCCTGTCTGGGTTTGATGTATCTGATGGGCTCAGGAGGAACTCTTTTATTGACTTTATCTGAGAATAAATAAAATCTCTCTAGTGGGGCTGGGGATGTGGCTCAAGCGGTAGTGCGCTCGCCTGGCATGCGTGCTGCCCGGGTTCGATCCTCAGCACCACATACAAACAAAGATGTTGTGCCTGCCGAAAACTAAAAAATAAATATTAAAAAAAAAAATTCTCTCTCACTATCTCTCTCTCTCTGTCTCTCACTCTCTCTTTAAAAAAAAAAAAAATCTCTCTAGTGGTTGAACAAGAGACTTTTGTATTTTTCCTAAGGCCTACATTGCCTTCTCAAAGAAAGCAGGTGCAGTCAGGTGTGTTGGCGCACACCTGTAATCCCAGCCACTTGGGAGGCTGAGGCAGGAGCATCAAAAGTTCAAGACAGCATGGGCAATTTAGCAAGGTCCTGTCTCAAAAGAAAAAACAAAGAGTTGGGGTTTCGGCCCAGTGGTGAGTATCCTGGGATTGTCCCAGTACTGCAAACAGAAGAAGAAAGCACTGTGTGTGTGTTGGTACTGCACCTCTGCCAAGCAACACAGGCCTTCCAGCATGCAGGGGTAAGATAAGACCCCATCAATTTGAGTGCCCAAGTGACAGGCTCCCTCAGAGTTCCAGCATCCCCCAAGTCCTGCTGAAGGCCAACTCTGGTTAACACTCCAAGTGCAGCAGCAGAAGGGCCACTTGGGCTTGTGAGGGACTGTGATCACATCCTTGCAGGCAGCCCATCCCTCCATCCACTCTTAGTCCCCTGCTGGGTCCTACCAGGTAGAGACTGTGGACACCCACAGGAGCCTGATCTCTGCTTGGAACTAGTCCTTCCAAATCCACTAGGTTGAGGCTGCCAAAGTAGTTGGGAGGCCTGGGGCATTAGTTCCAATGCCAGCTGCCTGGCACCAGCCTGGTTCTTAGCCACAATCCTAGCCATTGGACTTTGGCCCAGTATAGGGGTTGATCTTGGGGTCCTAACTGACCATTTCCCTCCCCATTCCATAGAACTTTCCCCACCCCAACCTCTCCCACCAGCAGTTCCAATTTCCATGTTGCCAGTGGCCAGGTTAGAACTGGGCTTGAGTGTCTATGCTTATCATTTAGGGAAAGCTGGGATTATACAGTAGCTGCACGGAAGTCTTCCATATCCCAGCTTCATGTAGGAATCTGTGGCAATAGGACTGTGAGGCCACAAGGTGGGGTGCCTCACTAGAGGGTGATTAGACACTGTGGGTTCAGGCTATTGTCTTGAACAGCTGATGCACACCATCCAAAAGCACTGAGTCCTTGCTGGACTCGAGAAACGTGAGTGCAACGACTATTAGATCCTAAACTTGGCAAATATGTGGTCTAACCCAGACCTTATATGGAATGAGAAATGGCCCAGAAATAGAAACAAGTTGCCCAGAAACAGGGCAGTGCTGTGGGATTTGGTGGCCCTACAGTAGTGCACAACATAGAGGGGGTTTGTCTCCAAAATAGAGACAAAAGAAGTCTTCTGCTGGGCACAGTGGCCCATTCCTGTAATCCCAGCCACTCAGGAAGCTGAGGCAGGAGAATGGCAAGTTCAGCCTGGACAACTTGGCAAGACCCTGTTTCAAAATAAAAAAAACAAAGGCTGGGGTTGTGGCTCAGTGGTGGAGCACTTGCCTACCATGCATGAGGCACTGGGTTTGATCCCCGGCACCACATACAAATAAACAAAATAAAGGTATTGTGTCCATCTACAACTAAAAAAATATTTAAAAAAGAAAAAAAATAAGGCTTGAGATATAGCTCAGTAGTAAAGCACTTGCCTGGCACAAGGCCCTGGGTTGGATACCAAGTACAAAAAAAAAAAAAAAAGTGTTTGGAGGGGGAAATGGCATGGTGGTGCTTGCCTATAGTCGCCTCTACTCAGGAGGCTGAAAAAATAATGACTTGAGATGTAGTAGCACATATATATGTATATATCTATTGAATGATGAGGTCTTTTTTTATTTTTCACTGTGCACACATGTAAGTAGGAGTACATACATCCTACCCTGCAGGTTATACAAAACCAGCCTCATTCTGGAATTACAGTGGCAGTCTGGTCAGACCACACAGTGAGACATCCCCAAAGAGAAGTCACTGGCCTTGCCCCTCACAGTGAGGCCAGATCTCTCCTGGAGAATTTGCTGACTATCACACTGGCTCCAACATTGTCTTCATTTTTCGGTCTCCAGGTACCTACCTGCTGGGCATCTGTGAAGTGCCTAGCACTGGACTGGCCCCCAGGACTAGTAGAAAGCCACCTGGCCTGCTCCACTCCAGTGTGGAAGACAAAAGTTAACAAAAACCATCCAAATAAGCACAAGATGTGTGAGGAAGGACAGTTCTAGCCAAAACAGGCATCTGGTCCAGCTTGAGGGGCTGCCCTGAGAAGTGACCCTGGGCACAGAGATCCAGAGGCCCAGCAAGAAGCACCAGGGTGGGGGGAGGGGCACAGGAACTGCATCACCCAGGGGCAGGGCAGTGATCCTGGGTCAAGAGGCAGGAGCAAAGGGTAAGACCAAAGAAGTGGAGACAGGCCAGGTCAGGCCACACAGGCATCGGGGGCCTGAAGGCAGGTTCTTCAGAGATTGTGGCCAGAGCCAGAGCCATCTGTAAGACAGGCCGGTGGCGTTTGGAGGTGGAGTCTCACCCACGGGCTGCTCAGGACCACACTTCGCCTCCTGGTCTCTGGCCATCTTTTAGGCCCTTAACTGCTCCTAAGTGCCTCTGTCCGCCCCTGGTATCCTTGGCGGGATCTCTTTCTCGGGGCTCCAGGCTCATTAGTGGGTGTCAGAGAGAGGAGTCTTAATCCGATCAAAGGCAGCAGGATAAGTGGCTGGACCAGCGCCCTGCTGAGCCAGGTTCAGCCCTGGCACCCGTGGCTCCCTGAGGCCTGACCGGCACCTGGTGAGTACTGACACACCCAGCTGCTTTTCCTGGCAATTGGGCATCTGCCCATCTGCCCTGGGGTCGGGAGAGGTGATGGGCCTTCACCCGCATGGCTGAGGTCTGTGTCTTCAGGAGTCATCCCCCTTTCCCCTGGTCCTTCAGAGAGGACACCCACCAATGTCAAATGGTGGTGCCAGTGTTCCTGAGTCCAGTGATGGTCTGGGAGCTGCAGTTCCCATGTGACCAACCAGCTGGCTGGCACCAACCACAGCCTAAGCTGCCTGGGGCCACTCAGACAGCATTGCCATGGGAACAGCATTTGATAGTTGGAGATCCCTTTGGGCCCAGAGCTGCCCATGGCCTGGGCTGGCAAAGTGGACTGACTGGGCCTGTGCTGTCTAGAAAGTGAGGGATGGGTACCACCAAGGTCACGCAACCAGAATCACCAGGCTTCTGAGCCCTGGTTTCTCCCAGGCTGGTGCTGGCCCCAGGGACAAGGCCTCGTGGAGGGAAAGTAGGTCCCCTGGGATTGGGTGGACCCTGTCATGCCCTCACAGCAAGGCCATGGTCAGTCTTAGCCCTAGAGCTCCAGAAAGCATCCAGCAGTAGCCCAAGGCTGCAGTCAGGTACCCCAACCCAAAAGATGGGGGAGCAGGAAAGGGGACCCCATAAGGTAGTCCCTGGGGCACCTGGGGTCATGGGCAGTGTCCTCTGTCTGTGCAACGTGCACAGCCTCAGCTCCTCTGGCCCTGTGTGGGGCTTTGCAGTTCCCTGGGAGATTAGGAATTTCTCTCTGGTGCTAATAGGCTTAGAGAAAGCCAAGGTGCCCCTGGCCAAGGTCCCTGGGGCTTGGATAGCAGATCTGGGGAGGGGTATCATCAGCCTTCAAGGACATGGTTCATCAAGGCACAGCAGCAGAGGCCAGCTCAGCCACGCCAGAGCCAGGGCGACACTGACCAGAGCAGGCCCCTAGCCAGTGGAAGTGGGCCAGCCTCACTGAGCTGGTGAGGCCTCGGCTTGTCCCTCCATGTAATAGAGCCAGGAGGCACAGGATCTGGTTCTGAGATGGCTCCTTCTCCAAGGGAACCCCTGTCCTCCCATTTTGTGAGCCATTGTTTATCAGCTCCATGTCACAACCCCAAGGGCTGACAATAAACACAGAAAAAGCACACAAGTGACCATAGTCAGTCACGGGTTCGCATTGACAAATCAGGAATTTGGGCTTACATATGATGTAAAGAAATAAATCAGGGCCTGAGGCACAGAGTGACTGTAGGGTAGTGGGCAGGGTAGGCCTTTCTGAGAGGGAACTGGAGCCCTTGAGGGCAGCCTGGGGCAATTTGTCAGGAAGGAAAGGCCAGCGGACAGTGTGGCCAGAGCAAAGGCTGGTGAGCCTAATCGGAAAGGCTTGGAAGAAGGGCTCATTTGAGTTGCATCCCAGTCCTAGCAGGAGCCCCCAGAAGGCCTTCAACAGAATGACATGGTTGGATTCAGTCACTGAGCAAAGGGGAGGGATGCAGGCCTCAAGTGTCTCTAGAGCCACCTGCAGAGACCAAGGCAACAAGGGGTCCTGCCAGGAGGGGCCAGGAGGATGGTTTTGGCATGGACTGGTTGTGTGGGGCTGGATGAGCAAGACCAGCAACACCAGGGATACAGGGAGACAGCCTGAGTTCTGTGTAGCAGTGGGGGCCTCTGGCAAGGCCAGTGGGAAATGAAAGTTCTGGGGGGTATACCTAAGTGGAGCTGAAGGTGTTCCCGGGGTGGGGCTGCTGTCCTGGGCACACCAAAGGATGGCAGGTAGTGCCGTCTCAACTTCTCTGTTCTGTGGGTTGTGACCCCAACAGAACAGGAGGGTTGACCAGAACCCCTGGCTGGTCTGATCTCAGCCTCATGAGGAGTCCAGTTCACTCTGAGGAAATCCAGAAGCCAAGGGTCACTGTCGTGTCTCTGCCAGCCTCGCCATGAACCTGGAGCCACCCAAGGCCGAGATCCGGCCACCCACGAGGGTGGTTGGAGGACCTGTTACCCCCAGGAAAGGACCACCCAAATTTAAGCAGCGGCAAACCAGGCAGTTTAAGAGCAAGCCACCCAAGAAGGGCATCCAAGGGTAAGCAGAGCTGGGGGGGGTCTCAGAAAGCGGTCCCCCAGGCTGCCCAGGAAGGGGAGATAGGGGCTAGGGAGGGGCTCAGCCACCTCGTAACTGGGGACAGGCAGTTTCCAAGGCTCTGAGCAAGCCAGAAATTCAGCCACTGCCTCACCTCAGGGATGTGTGTGCACCCCACCGCCACACTCTCTATGCACACACAATCATGTCACATCCCACGTGCACACGGAGAAGTGCTGCTTTTCATTGTGCAAGGAAGACTGGCACTTAATGCAGGAAAGAGGTTTATTTGGCTCACAGTTCTGGGGGCTGAAAGTTTTCCTGGTAGAGTTGCTCCCTCAAATCAGCCTCCGGTAAAGTCCCCGGGGCTACATCATAGTATGGTGGATGCTGTCATGGCAACGCTGCCAGTGATAGGGACAGATCCCATGGTGAGATGGGACACCAGGCTCCTCTGTTCTGCAGAGTTATAGCCTATTAATCCCACTGACCTAATCCCCTTCCACTAGGCCCCTCTTAAAGACCTACCACCTCTCAATACCTAATTCTGGGGACCCAGCCTCCAGCGCCCAGCCTTCAAGCACAAGCCACATCCCAACCAGACCAGCACACTTGAACACACTGCCCTCTGCCCACCCAAAAGTCCTCATGCTATGCTCTTGCAAAGGCACACACCTGACCACTTGGCTCACTCCCTCTTTGCTGGGCCTCAGCCTGTGTTTGTGGAAGGGACCCCTCAGGCCTAGCGCAGCAGTGGGAGATTGGGGAGGAGACCCACATCTCTGCCCACTGTGCTCCCAGCCTGGACCTGGTCTCCTGGGAGGGCTGGGTCCTGACCTCGGACCACTGTCCCTGACTGTTCTGTCCTTGCAGGTTTGGGGATGACATCCCTGGAATGGAAGGCCTGGGAACAGGTATCCCCATGGCTAGTGTTATGCTGAGGGGTTTCCCATGTCCCCCCAAGGCATGCCTGGGGCCCACAGCCCCAGCAACCCCAGCTTCCCCCAGCTTCTTACCTAGGGCACTGCCCCCCTGGCCTGCCTCTCCCAACATCAAGCTTCAGTTCCCACTGAGTGGGGCTGTTCCCACGGGGGAGCACATTTACCAGGCGTGAGGATGAGAGATCCTTGCTGCCCCTCCCCCTCAGCTGTCCACGAGGGCATGTGGGAAAACAGGGTGGGGGATTCCTGGGCTATGGATCCTCTCTGACCACATGCTTCCTGCAGACATCACAGTCATCTGCCCCTGGGAGGCCTTCAACCATCTGGAGCTGCACGAACTAGCCCAGTACGGCATCATCTAGCCAGACCTTCTGGGGTCCTGGACTCTCTGCACGGCCTGCTGTGAGCCCTGCTCAGGATCCCTGCAGGGGCCCCCAGCACAGCAGGCACCTGACCTCCAGGCAGGGTGATCTTAGGCCCTGGATGCTAGTTGCCAGGAGCCCCCCTCCCCAGGACACCCTGCTGGCCCCCTGGAGACCCTTGCCCACCCCCAAGCCTTCACCTCCTCCTGACTGGAACAGAGAGAGAACCCACACGTGTCCCCCACTGTCAGCCCCATGTGCTGCTTTGTGCAGGTGAGGAGGACCCCCCCTCAGCTCTTCCAGCTGGCATGGGTGGGCCATGGTGGGTGTCGGGAGTCCTGCTTTGCAGTGAGAGAATGAGGCCCTTCATCATCAGCCTTTCCAAAATGACCCACCCTTCTTGTCTCCATACCATAATAAAATGAGCATGTCCCTGCTTGTCTGGGGGCACCTCTTTTGTTAGGTCAGACCCCAGGGTGAGGGCTCTGTTGGCAGGAATGCATGGAGGAAGGCTCAAGGCAGGGGTGGGGCAGGAGGGGCTGGCCTGGTGGAGAGGGTAAAAACCAGGGACAACCTGTCCCACTGAACCTCGGCCTGGAGGCCTCAGACACACAAGCCATGCTGTGTCCCTCACTTACTCCAGGGACCATAGTCAGTGACACATGTGGGTGGTCAGAGCAGGCCTCAGCAAGAAGGAGGGGGTGGACAGAGCCCCTGGCATCAGACACCATGAGGCAGGAGCTCTGTGTCCACCTCACATGGGAGGAAACCCAGGCCCCCAGCCTACACTGGGACTGTGCCCACACAACTAGCACACATCCAGGGTGAGCTGGGGCTTCTACCCAGAGCCCAGCAGCAAGGTCCACACAGCAGGACCCATACTGGCACTCGTGCCCCAGAGGCTGGATGGTTGCACTGTGTGCCTCCTCAGGAGGGCTGAGGGTCGTGAGGTCCCTCCTGCAGCAGTGGCCAGATGAGACTCACAGAGTGCCCTCTGTGATTCCTCTTGCAGGACATCAGACACAGGTTTCACTGCCCCTGGAGATGAAGCCAGGGCAGGGCTGACAGAGATGAGGGAGTCTGGGTGGCTGGGGACTTCCCATTTTGACCAGGTGGTGGCTCCACCATATAAAAGTCCTCACGCAGACACTTGAGATTGGCAGTTTACTGAATGAATATTACACCTCAGCAAGTGGCTTACTCCTCCCCTAAAACAGACTTCTGGCAGAAGCCCGGCCTCACCCTCTGTGGCACCAAGGACCAGAAAGGACCTCAGGGAAGTGCTTGCAGTGAGGGGGTGGGGTCTGGGGGCCGAGCACAGGCAAGGCAGTGTGGAGTGGAAGAAGGGTGGGGGAGGCAAGAACACCCACCAGGCGCTCTTCCCACCAGCCAGAGGCAGACACGCCAGACATAAGCCACCGCAGCCTTTGCCAGGAGCAATGTGACTTAGGTGGGTCCTGGGGCAGCCAGAGCTCAGTTGGGCAGGTGGCCAGTCCAGCTGGCCCTTGGGATGACAGGTGGCAGAGGCCAGAGGCCTGTGGGGCAGTGGCCTGGCCGGGGAGGAGGGGTGTTTCTCTGACCCCCAACCCTGCAGGTGAGAGAGGCCTGGAGCCCTGTCTATACCACAGCCTCTCCTCCGCTCTGCCTGGCAGGGAGGTCACACAGGAACCTGTGCTCACAGGGGACCAGCCTCCACAGCCTCCACGGTCTTGTGAGCAGCCAGGGCCTTCAGCAGCCAGGTGGCCAGCAGGAGTTCAGCTCCCTGGACCACCACGATGGCAATGGCACAGCTGCCCAGGGCCTGGATGTTCCTGTGCAGCCACTGCAGCATCGCAGGCCCGCAGCCCTCCAGGTGCACAACTTGCCCCGCCGCGTCCTCGTCCAGGCGCAGTGCCCCCAGACCACACTGGGTGTTCACCAAAGCCCCGTCTTCCCAGGGACGGATGCAGCAGGACGCAGGGAGGCTGCAAGCCTGCATCCCAGGAGAGTCGCAATTAAAGGACCTGTAAGGTGCACCAAGCTCAGTCCTGAGCAGGACATCTCCTGCGGGCTTTCAAACTCACGTCCACACACACGGGCACTCACACAGGAATGCAGGCCCACATGGGAACACATGCATGCACACACATGTGCACACACACACACACACACTTGCACACGCACATACAACACCAGCTTCCCGGGGCCCTGTGCCTGACAGCCCTCTGCTCTTGCAGGCAGGCAGAGTGGCTGTCCGTCTGGAGGGGACAGTTCAGTGAGAAGGCGGAATGGACAGATAGTGTTTGAGGAGGTGAGACTTCCCTCCGCAGGTGCTGCGAGCTCATCTGAACAGGCAGGGTTGAAGCAGAAGGTGGACAGAGTCCACCAGAGGCTTTCAGAACAGTCTGCACATCTCACGGGAAGTGGCAGCACTGAGCAATGACAAGGGACGGGGACTGAGGGGGGCCCAAGGTGGTTGGGGATCACTAGTGCAGGGGGTCTTCAAGGGCCCTGGGCCTCCCATGGGCATGCAGAGGCCTGCCCACAGGCCTGGCTTTGTGGGGCTAGACCTCATCTATGGGGCCCCTGCTGAGAAGACCTGCAGGTTACACACACCTTCTCATAGGCTGGCTCAGTCATCGATGGAGAGCACCTCACTGTGTGTGTGGGGGTACTCACAGTGCACCTTAGCATCGAAGGGCCCAAATAGTCCTAGAAACTCTTGGGAACAAATGATTAGTGTCCTTTGAGTTCCTCTCTTGTGGCCATCTGTCCTGGGTATCTCAGGGAGGACAGGCACTGTTCAGGGTGTCTGTGCACTGGGGGAAGCTGACAAAATAGATACCCAGGAGCAGTGCACAAAACACTGCATTGAGCCTGGGGTGCAACTCCGTGGTTGGGCACTTGTCTTGCATGTGCAAGGTCCTGGGTTCCATCCCCAGAAGCATACACAAAAAGTAGTGCATCTTGTCCCCAGACAGACAGTTGTTTTGGTTTTGTTTTTTGTGGTACTGGGGACTGAATGCAGAGGTGCTCTATCTGTGAGCCAGATCCTCAGCCCTTTTTATATTGAGACAGAGACTCACTAAAGTTGCTGAATTGGCCTTTAACTTGAGCTCCTCTTGCCTCAGCCTCCTTAGTCGCTGGGATTATAGGCCCTTGCCACTGCACCCAGCACAATGTTTAATCTCTCTCTCTCTCTCTCTCTCTCTCTCTCTCTCTCTCTCTCAATCTCTCTCTCCTTCTTTCTCTCTCTCTCTTACACACACACACACATACACACACACACACACAGGAGGAAAAGCTGTGGAGTCATAAACTAGGGTGACATCCTGAGTTAACCTGAAAGTTACTTTCTTTTGATGTTGAGACAGCCAACTGTTGAAAAAAGGTGAAGTCTGTTGGTGTGGTTTCTCCATAAGGACCCTGTTTCTGCAAAGCCCTGTCTGGACCAGGACTAAGGAGGCCCATGAGCCAGTGGCCCAGAGACCGTCAGGTACCCCTGCACTTCACAGGTGGGGGTGCACATTCATGTGTGAACTTTTTGGAGGTGAGTGTGTGGCTGAGGACACATGAGTGCATATGCTTATACACATGTAAAGCCCAGGAGTGCGCCCTGTGAACCTGTGAGTGTGTGCACACAGTGTGTGGGCACATGTGAGCACATGTAGGTGAGTGTGAGCCCCCGGCCGTGCCCCTCCTCCCCCAGGCCAGGACTCACAGATTCTGCTGCCAGTCCTGGTAGGATGCCACCCCGCAGCACCGCAGCCCCAGCTGGACTTGGTCAAGGAGGAAGCGCAGGTCTGGGCTGTCCTGGTAGTGGGTGATGGCCACCTGCAGGGTGTGCTCCAGCCTGTCCTGCAGTGGGCCCCAGAGGGCTGCCACCAGGGCCCCTGCCATGGCCTCGAGCACCAGGAAGAAGAGGACAGCCCCGCAGAAGCAGCGCAGTAAACAGCTGTTCTCGCAGAGGGCGCCCAGGCAGCCGAGCAGGCTCACCGTGCTGACTGCCAGTGCCCCCAGCACCAGCACCAGCATGGGGTCTGGGGGCACGATACCCCCCCAACTGCCCCCCAGAGACCCCTTGACAGCCAGGCCCCAGAGTCCCACAGCCAGGGCCAGCAGGGCTAGCAAGGAGAAGAGGAAGTTGGAGAGAAAGGTCAGATACTTGAGGCAGCTGTACCCCATGGGGAGGGAGGGGGCTGGGCCTCCCCCCAGGCCTTTCTTCCAGCCTTGGTGCTTGGCCCCAGAAGGACAGCGGCGGCGACTCCAGGCCCCCACCTGGTCCTCCCTAGGTGGAACAGTGTGGCTTGTGGTGGGTGATCTGTTTGTGAGGACGGGAGGCTCCCAGTGGGCAGCATCCTGCAGAGGGAAGAGGAGCTGGTAGACCTTGCTGGCAAGACCTCATGATGGTCAGCAAGGGGTGAGGCCTCAGCAGCAGGAGTCAGGGCGGACCAGGAAGCTGGATGGTGGAGGGAACGGGAGAGAAGAGGCATGGGGGCCTTTAGGCTTGTCCTTCTGGGCTGGGTAGTAGAAGGGACAGCAAGGGTCCTGGTCTGCTGCTTGTGTGGGCCCAGCCTCCTTTAGAACAGAGCAATGACCATACCCTAAAAGGTCTGCAGTAAAGATTCATCAGGGTGGTGCTCAATAAATGCACTTTCTCCCCTTCCCTGCATACTTGTGCAATTCAGGGGCTGACTTGGGCCTTGCCCGGGCCTGACCTTTGTAAGTCAGGCACATGGCAGGCAAGGCTATTTTTTCTGTGTTTGAAACAGATCTGTTTAGGTCAGCAGTGACTTTGTGTAGTCACAAAGGGGGCTTCCTCACCCAGGCCAAGAAAGGCAGGCCCGCAAAGAGAGGGGCCGGTCCCAGTGGCTGCCCTCCTGCCTCCCCCTCTGAAACCAGTTCTTACATCCCAGGATCTATACGGTTGCTTCATCAGCTGAACCCTCACCAAGTGTGGATGCTAGATGGGCCCTGTGGTAGAAGATGCAGGAAGGGACAGGCCAGGGTCTGTCTGCCTGGTTCCCAGGGCAGGGAGAAAGGTAGTCAGGAAACTGGGAAGGTCATCTGTAAGAGGCAGTGCCTTCCAAGGGGACACTTGGCCTTCTAGCAGGGTGCTCAGCCAAGCAGGCAGGCATGAGAGGGGCTTCCTAGCCTCTCTGCTGGGTGAGGGAAGCCCCTCAAGTGTCCAGTTCTGCTGGTGAGAACTAAGAAGCTGTGGCCCGGAGCCTGGACCAGGATCCCATGCCAAACGGTGCTACCAGGGCGAAGCTGTCTGACTGCACTGAGACCTGTGTACTCAAACTTGAGCGGAGCTGAAGAGAATTATTTACCCCCTCCCCGGGGTCCCTGCAAATCAGTAGGAGCAAAGAGACAGGCTGCTAGAGCCCAGCTGGCTGGACTGGTGCTCTCTGAGGCAGTGGGCATCCACAATTGGCTTCAAGGAATCTTTGTCTTCCCCTTCTGCTATGCGCTGGGCCAGACTTGCCCCCAGGGCCACAAGACCTGCCAGAGGCTGGCATCAGACTGAGAGAACCACAGCAGTGGGCAGGGAGCTGGCACCTGATTAGTGAAGCCCCCAACCCTAATTTCGGCAGCTTGTCCTCTGGCGTCTGCCCAAAAAAGGTCTCAGCACACAAGGCTGGGTGGGTTGGGAGCTGGGCAACCCTGCTAGGGGATTCAGGGGGAAACTTTCCACCCCAGAGGCCATGGGCACTGGCTTACCTGGGACAGCAAGGGGCTCCTTTCCCCTCCTTCCATCCCCTGTGCCAGGAGAAAAATCCTTCAGCACGGGAGCTAGCCCAGGCTGCTGGCTCTGCGGTGCCACTGTGCTCCTGGGCTGCTCTGCAAGCTGTGGAGTCCAGGGACTAGGGAGCTGTGAGCCCGAGTCACAGTGGGATCATGTGAGGAGTCACACTCTAGAGTTAGAGCGGCCCCTGCTTGTGCAGGGGCAGATGGTCTTTCTTCTTGGCCCTGAACCCATTTATTTTTTTTTTTAGGTGCTGGGGATTGAACCCAGGGCCTTGTGAACGCAAGGCAAGCGCTCTACCAACTGAGCTATGTCCCCAGCCCTTTGGCCCTGAATTCTTGGCCTGGCTTTACGGATGCCCTCAGCTCTTCACAGGTGCCTGATGAGTAGAGCTGCCGGGGTGTGTGCCTCGTGGCTCTGACCGAGGGCCCTTTTTTTTTTTTATGGGTTTCAGTTTTGCAGTTTCACTGGCTGCTTCCTCAGCTCCCCAGGAGATCAGACCCACAGAAATTGGTTCACAGTACCAATCCCAGTGGACCACCAGAGTCTAAGTGCCAATTTATTTCCCCAGCATATGCATTGCAAGGAAGGAAGAGCTACTTGTCAGTTACATCCTTCTCGGTTGTAAGGTACCAGGTTTACAGTTCCACCCTCTGAGCTTCTCAGGAGCAGGACTTTGTCAGGGTCATTGTTGGGTCCTTGCACCTGGGATAAGCCTGGGCACATATTTACCATGTGGACAAAAGTATATTCTGGGCTGGGGATGTGGCTCAAGCAGTAGCGCACTCGCCTGGCATGCGTGCGGCCCGGGTTTGATCTTCAGCACCACATACAAACAAAGATGTTGTGTCCGCCGAGAACTGAAAAATAAATATTAAAAAAATTCTCTCTCTCTCTCTCACTCTCTCTTTAAAAAAAAAAAAAAAGTATATTCTGAGGCTCTCAAGACTGGATCCCCACCCACCACCAGCTCTAGGCACACCCGGGATTCCCTGGGCTTTTTGGGGTGTGGGAGGTGGAAATGAGCTTTTCAAAGTAATCATGATGGTCCCACAGGTCCTCTGGAAGCCTCAGGGGAGGGGTGTCAAGGAGCCTCCTGCCCATGTGCTTTTATGGCAGGAGGAAGGGTGGCCTGCGGATCTGTTGCACATCCCGAGCCCCCCACCCCACCATGGGCTTCTATCTTTGCCATTCAAGGCTCCTCCTCTCCTGGAACTTCAGAGCCACCATTGTTCTTTTTTGAAGTACTGGGGATTGAACCCAGGGTCCACCACCATTGCCCTTGGTCATCACTTTATAATCCAGCCAAATGGACTGTTTGATGGCCCCATTGACCGCACCTGGGTGCCTTGACTTTGGTCATCCCTGAAGTACCCTTCTTGCACTGTCATGATTGGCAAGAGCTCTCCCATGTTCTCAGCCAGCTTTAGACTATCTCCTCCATGTAGGCCTCCTCTGCAGTCCAGGGAGCAGTAGTCTGCCCTCCAGTCACACATTACATTCTTTCTTATTTTTTGGTATTTGAAATTGAACCCAGGGGTGCTTAACCATTGAGCCACATTATTTTTATTTTTTTATTTTGAGACAGGGTCTTGCTAAATTGCTTAGGGCTTTGCTAAGTTGCTGAGGCTAGCCTTGAATTTGCTCTTCTCCTGCCTCAGCCTCTCAAGATGCTGGGATGACAGGTGTGTGCCACCAAGCCTGGCTCCAGTCACATTTTATATAATTCCACTATGTAAAACATTTACTGTCAGGTTCAGGTGTGGCTCAGTGATAGAACACTTGCTTAGCATGTACAAAGACCTGGATTCCATCCTCAGCTCTACTAAATAAATAAATAAATAAATAAATAAAAAAGAGTTCTTGACATGCTATGACATGGATGAAGCTTAAAAACACTGTAAATTACATAGGTTGTGTGCAGTGGTGCACGCCTGTAATCCCAGAGGCTCAGGAGGTGGAGGTAGAAGGATAGCAAGTTCAAAGTCAGCCTCAGCAATTTAAGGAAGTGCTAAGCAACTCAGTGAGACCCTGTTTCTAATAAAATACAAAACAGGGCTGGGGATGTGGCTCAGCGGTTAAGTGCCCCTGAGTTCATTCCCCAGTACTCCACCCCTCCCAATTTATAACTGACAGGAGAGAGTGGGAAGTAGACACGGAAGGAGAGGTCAGACAGATTCTAGGTGGTTGAGAAAGTGCAGAATCACAACATCATTCAAACAAGATGGACTTTATTCAAAATGTGCTCAAAATCATTCTCTGTGTTGAGCTGGGCTGTGGCTCAGCAGTAGAGCAAGATTGTCTAGTATGTGCGAGGCCCTGGGTTCCATCCCCAGCACCTAAAAAAACCCTATTATTTGTGTTAAGACTTGGCATAGCGCTGTGTCAAGCACCTCACCAGATGTGTCCTCCATCTTGACAACCCACACATCTAGAGCCCGCCAAGCTGCTCCCCCAGCAGGAATCCCAACAAACCCAATGACTGGGCTCTGGCTGGTGTTTCAGTGGGTGACTCTCAGGCAGTCCTCTCATTCCCTCAGTGCTCATTCTGGGTCCAGCCACCTTTGGTCCTTGGCTGCCACCACAGGGCATTAGCCTTCTGCCCCTTCCTTACTGTCCATTCTCCATTCAACCTCCACAAGAGCCTCAAAAATGTAACAGAAAGCAAGTCTCGCAGCCCTCCAAAGGCTTCCCACCATGCCTAGAACAGAATCGACGCCTTCCTATGTCTGACAAAGCTCTTCCTGATAAGCCTCCCCTCAACCCCACTGCCCGCTGGCTGCCTTGCTGGCCCTCATTGTCCTGGACCACCCAAGGGCACCTCAGGCTGCTTCCCACTGCTCTTCCTTGGACTCCTGCCAGCATACTTCGTCGGGGACTCTGCTCCAACCTCCCCTTCTGGGAGGTCTTTCTTGATCTTCTTCTGTTTTCTTTTCCTTTCGATGCTGGTGATTAAACACAGGGACTTGAGTAGACACTCTTCCACTGAACTACACTCCCAGACCTGCCCGTCTTATTTCAGATAGCTTGCACTGTCCCCAGTCTGCTCTGCTTTGGTAGTATTGCAACCTGACATTACAGATGGGCACGGTGATCTGCCTGCTGGTAAGTCCTACCAGGACAGAGGTCTATCACCAGTGTAAAAGTCATACCACACACCGGGAAAGCAATCGGCACATTTTTGTGGATTTGATGAACAAGCCAAATAACTGCTGAAGTGGAAGTTGGAGAACACGTTATCAACACTGACATCGTGATAATAATGACTATATCAAGGAAATTAAGAGGTGGGTGTGGGGAGGAAAGGAGAATAACAATTTAATTTTTAAATAAGTATGATCTGAAATTGAACAATGAGGTTAAAAGGAATGACCTTTCAAAAGCTCCCAGAGACTCGTAACTTTTTTTTTTTCCCATAATCATACACGAGATTAGCTACAAAATTCGCAGGGCCCAGGACATCTGAAAGTTAAGTGTCAAAACGGAGCATGAAATCAAGACCAAGGCCTCCGAGCAGCGAAGACTCGGCCGGTGGACCGCACTGAAGCCGGTCCTGGAACATCTACATTAACTAAAATGCGGTTTAAATTCTCTGGAGTGCTGTTTCCCTCCGTAGAACCCACCGAGGGTTATTCTTGCGTGAGATTTCCGGCGCGTGTCTCTTCCGGGTCTTTACTGTGCCGCCCGCACTGACGTCTCTCAGACACCTGCTGCGTTGAGCCGCGGGGCCTCGGCGGCGCTGCCTGCGCCTGCGCGCGGCCGTTGTGGGGGCCGGAACTCGGTTTCCGCACTGCGCGCCCGGCGGAGTTTATTAGGTGACGCACCGGACGCCGGCGACTGGCTGAGCCGGGCGGCGAAGCTGGAGCGGCGGTGGCGGCGGCGGCGGGAGGCCGGGGCCGGGGCTGAGGCCGGGGCCGGGGCTGCGAGGCCCTTGGGACGGCAAGGGGCGGCGGCGGCGGCCCGGGGCCCGAGCGCGGAGGCCGGAGCGGCCGCCATGTCCGAGAGCATCGTGAGTGCGGCGGGCGGGAGCTGCCGGGATGAGGCAGCAGATTTGCCGGCGCCGCGGCCGGGCCCTCCGCGCCCGCGCTCGGCGTCCGGCCGGCCCTGTCCTGGCCACCGGGGAAGGCCAGCGGGCGCAGGCGCTCCGGAGACCCGGCCGGCGCCGGCGCGACTCCGCGGCCTGCGGGTGCGCCCCTCCTGCCGTCGCCGGGCCCCTCGGGGAGAGCCGGGCCCAAGGCGGCGGCGGGGAGCGCCCAGGGCCTGGCTGCCCGGCGCAGGGCGGACTCGGCCGACGGCTTAACAGGAGTGAGAAAAAAGGGTGATTTCACTTCTGCCCGACGTTAGGGATCGCCAGGCTCCTCTTCCTCTGAAAGTGAAAAATGTCAGTGCAAATTCGAGGGAAAAAACCAGAGAGACCGTCGCTGGTGGACTTGGGGAGTTTCCCCTCCAGCGTAGACGTGGGCCGGGAGGTACAGTCCGGTGGGACAGTTGTGGTCGACCTTACGGAGTATTCGGAATTTCTGGGGTGGCAAAGCAGAGTTCAGCCTTCAGCCCTGGGAAGCCTCTGCAGCTGTGCCGGGTATCCTGAGGCACTTCGGCTCTTCTTTCTGGATGTCTTGGTCTCTGGGAAAATTCAGCTTTTGCATTTAAGGCTTTTCTCTAAGGGTTGCCTCTCCGTCCTTACGGCTCGCTTTAGGGCTCCCTGTCCGACCCCTCGGTGTTTCCCTGCTTGCAGATGGTGCATGAATTCGTGTTCCAAGAGAAACCTCAGAAACACTCCTTTTAAAAATTAAAGTTTTACTGTCATTGGTGACTTGCCTAGAAATAGGTTAGGGTTAACAGATCTACTTTCAGACTTTATATTTAGTTTAATAGAATTTTTTTTACTGAGTCAAAGCAACCTTGTACAGGCAAGACCATTTTCCACTAGTGAATGTAGGCTGGGCTCCCACAGATAGCTTTGTGTGTCTGTAATAGAGTCTCTCAGGTTGTGAGGGATTAAAGTTGACCTTTCTTCTGACATTGAGTTTAGAACTTTAAAAACTTTTTTTTTTTTTAATTTAAAGGGAAGTCTCTTGAAAATCCCTGTGGGAAAAATGAGTTTTATGAAGATTTTTGGGCTGATTTTTTTGAAATTTTTTTATAATACTGGGGATTGAACCCAGGGCGCTTTACCACTGAACTACAGCCCCTGCACTTTTTATATTAGTTTGAGATAGGGTCTTGTTATGTTGCCCAGGCTGGCCTCAAACTTATGATCTTGCTGCCTTGATTCCTGAGTCACTGAGATTATATGTGTTCATCAACACACCTGGCTCATTTTCTTTTTTTTGACACAATCTATCTATGTTGCCAAGACTGGTCTCAAACTCTTGGATTCAGGTGATACTCAGCCTCCTGAGCAAATGGGACTGTATGCATGTGCCACTAAGTTCAGCCTAATTTTCTCACAAACAGGGAAACCTAAGTTACTAAGAGGCTGTGGCCAGGTCTGTCTCTTCTCTGTGTTTTGCTTTGTAGCTGTCAGGGCCTAAGCCAGTATATTCCTCAGTACAAGTTATGCTTGTTTTTTGTTAAACCCAAATGCTGCAAAGCCAAATGAAAGTTATTAAAAAATGAGAAGGTCATTCTGTATAGGAGAGTCTATGTTATTATTAATTAGTTCCAGTGGAATAGACAAAGTCCAATAGACCTTAATCCACTCTGATGTTTTATAGAGTATCCTTGGAAATCTTTTTTTGGACAATGTCTTTTGACTTTTTCTTCTGCAACAGGTTTTTTTTTTTTTTAAGTATAGTGCCTGCTGAGAGGAGAGAGGAAAGAATACAAGGTTTGCGTTTTCTGGCATGTTCCTATGTCTCCCCTCCCACCCCTCAGGGGGTTTGGCAAGAGCTGCCCTGTTTGCAGCAGGGCATGCCAGTTCATGCTCCCTAACTAGAATGGGAGCTGGCACAGTGGCAGCATAATGTACCCTCAGAAGGGCTTGATCACATAAAAATCAGAAAATAATGCCCTTGTCCAGTAGCTGGGCAGTCCTTCTATCCTTTTCCAGCTTGCTATGAAAATGTTTTTAAAAACCTAAAGTTTGGGGCTGGGGTTGTGGCTCAGAAGAAGAACGCTTGCCTAATATGCATGAAGCACTGGGTTCGATCCTCAGCACCACATAAAAATAAAAGATATTGTGCCCACCTATAACTAAAAAATAAATATTAAAAACCCCCCAAAGTTTACAGTGGTGTTTAAGATCTTAATTTCTTTAACTTCACTCTTTTTGTTAAATAAATTAGGCTTTCTGTGATTCTTATATTTGTCAGCCTAATTAATGTCTATGCATATAACAAAGTGAGATGCCAGTTATTTGTTGGGTGTGGTGGCACATGCCTGTAATCCTAGCAGCTTAGGAGGCTGAGGCAGGAGGATCGCAAGTTCAAAGTCAGCCTCAGCAACCACGAGGTGCTAAGCAACTTAGTGAGACCCTGTCTCTAAATGAAATACAAAACAGGGCTGGGGAGAGGCTCAGTGGTAGTGCTTTTGCCTCATATGTGTGAGACACTGGGTTTGACCCTCAGCACCACATAAATATTTAAAATAAAGGTATCATATCCCCCCACCAAAAAATAAAAAAGAATCCAGTCATTCATAGTTTGTGGTGGGTCTTTTGAGTTTTTGGGATCCTCCTGGGACTTTGATCCTTGCTGGGATCACACCCAGCTCTTTCATGTCACTCTGTGCTAATGCAGAAGTATGTGTGCCTCCTGGGCTGGGGCTGGAGTTGGGGCTCAGTGGTAGAGCGCTCGCCTGGCACGTGTGAGGCACTGGGTTCGGTCCTCAGCACCACATAAAAATAAATAAAATAAAGGTATTATTAAAAAAAAAAGACAGCGTGACAGGAGCTGGGGCTCAGACTAGAGCACTTGCCTGGCATGTGTGAGGAAATGAGTTTATTCGTATAAATAAATAAAAAGTCTATCAATAATTAAAGAAATATTAAAAAAAAAGAAGTGTGTGTGCCTCCTAAGTTTGAGGAGAGAAGATTTCAGATGTACCTTTATAAATAAAGATTAAATATTGAACTTGTATTTTTGGGGGTGAAACTCTTAAGGATTTCTCTTAGACTGCTCTGTGTGTTAATGAACCTCATCCCTCTGCTTCCTCCTAGGAAGATTTGAATTGGGTATTGAGGGGATGGCAGGATTTGGTTTTCAGTTTCAGTGACTGCAAATGTAAGTTTTGGTAATAAATCAGGCCTCACTAGGCTGTGCACTAACTGTCTTGTGTCATTTATAACAGATAATTCGTGTCCAGTCTCCAGATGGGGTCAAGCGGATCACAGCAACAAAGAGAGAAACAGCTGCAACATTTTTGAAAAAGGTGTGAGCATTTACCTTAAGCTGCCACCCAGATCACTCAGGCTGAGCATTTACCTTTCAAGGTCCAAGGTCTTGTTCATTGTTCACCCCCCAACTGTTCCCACCTGTGTTTTCTCTTTTCCACATTTCCTCTCTTTCTTAAGCTTTTTTTTTTTTTTTTTTAAGAAGGCGTCTTGCTAAGTTGCTCAGATTGGCCTCAAACTTATGATCCTCCTGCCTCAGCCTCCTGATTTGCTGGAATTATAGTAGTATACCACTGCTATAATACACAACTTGGTCACAACTGATCACTGCTTAAAATGTAGGACCAAGAGCCAAAGTATTTTGCAGGAATAATATTTATGAAAATGAAAATTTGGAGGGGAATTGTTAAAGGGTAATTGTTAAAAATGTGTAGAATGATTCTATTCTGTGTTGTCCTTCAGGGCTGGGGTTGTGGCTCAGCGGTAAAGCGCTTGCCTCACACATGCAAGACCCTGGGTTTGATCCTCAGCACCACATAAAAATAAATAAGTGAAATAGATATTGTGTCCAACTACAACTAAAAAAAAAAAAAATTGTAGAATGATTCCACTGTGTTTCAGGGAAATTAAAGGCATATACATTTCTGTATGAGCACAGAAAGTGAGTCATGTGAAACACCTGGGTGTGATTCCAGCAAGGATCGAAGTCCCAGGAGGATCTGAAGTTTAAGGCCACCCTGGGCAATTTATCACGACGCTGTCTCAAAATAAAAAGGGGCTGCTCTGCCAGGTGTGGTGGCGCACGCCTGTAATCCCAGTGACTCAGGAGATTGAGACAGGAGGATCGTGAGTTCAAAGCCAGCTCAGCAATGGCAAGGTGCTAAGCAACTCGGTGAGACCCTATTTCTAAGTAAAATATAAAATAGGGTTGGGGATGTGGCTCAGTGATCCAGTGCCCCTAAGTTCAATCCTCAGTAACCCCTCCCCCCAAAAAAAGAAAACCCCAAAAGGTACCCGGGTCTTTTTTATTTTGAGATGGGGTCTTATTATAAAAGAGCAAGCTCAGGGCTGGGGATGTGCCTCAAGCGGTAGTACGCTTGCCTGGCATGCGTGTGGCCCGGGTTCGATCCTCGACACCACACACAAACAAAGATGTTGTGTCCGCCGAAAACTAAAAAATAAATATTAAAAATTTCTCTCTCTCTCTTTAAAAAAAAAAAAAAAAGAGCAAGCTCAGTGGTAGAGTGCTTGCCTAGCATACACATGGTCCTGGATTCAATGTATGTGTGGTACTGGGGGTTGAACCCAGGGTCTTATGCATGGTGAGCAAGTGCTCCACCACTGAGCTATATCCCCAGCCCTTTTTTATTTTTTATTTTGAGATAGGGTCTTGCTAAGTTGCTCAGGCTAG